TGGTGGATCCAGTCGGTTTCGAACCGACCGCCTTCTGTGTGCAAAACAGATGCTCTACCAAATGAGCTATGGACCCGCACACACGCTTATATAAAAAGTTTATTATTTTACATTCGCATTACATGTAGATATTTTTAGTGAACTACCCAACACTTATAGAAGTGGGGGCTTCTAACGATTCAGAATAGCAACAGTTTACTAGCCCTTACGGACTAGCATGAGCCTGTTTCACGAAGTTCGTTCCAAACTCCGTTATTTGTGCTTTATAGAGGATATTTCTTGCTGAATTGACATCCCTATCTAATTCTAACCCACAAAAAGCACAAATAAAAAATCTATCTTTTAACTCCTGCTTAACTGGATGTCTTTTATTACATCTGCTACATGTTTGACTAGTATAAGCAGGGTTAACCTTAACTACTTTTTGACCAGTTTCTGCCACTTTGTCCCAAAGTAGTTTTAGGAATAACGATAAAGCACTATCATACATTCTTTTCGGTGAATATCACTTACTTTTCCCTTTTCCTTTTTCAACGATTTTGCTTGATTTGAAGTTCTCAACTCCAAAGAAGTCATAATTATCCCTTAATCACTTAACTTCTTTGAAGGCAAAATCTTTTCTTTGATTAGCCACTTTTTCGGCTTGCTTGGCTAATCCCAATTTAGTTTTTTGATGTCTTTTACTATTTTTGGTCTTATCCTCCTTGTTTCTCTTATGCTTTTTTCGAGAAAGTTTTTTGGCTCATGCTTCCAAGACTTTCCCCGCTTGCTCTAAAAAGTAAGGATTGCCTTTTTTCTCTCCGGTGTCAAGCACTCAAAAATTATCCTCACTGGTATTGACATCAATGCCAATTTGCTTATCTAGGGAAATTAATTTAGTATCTAGTTTTGGTTGTGCTTCTATTCCACAAGAAAAATTAGCATAATATTTGCCATTTTTAACTAGAATAGAACAAGTTTTTATTTCTCCCTCTAATTTTCGGTGTTTTCGAATATTCATTCAGCCAATTTTAGACAATCATAATCGATTATACTTTAACTCAATTCGGTCTTGTTTTTGAGTGTAGGTAAAACTGTCATATCGACCAAATTGCTTATAACGAGGGTAATGAACTTCTTTTGACTTTTTGCCTAGTTTCTCTAATCTTTCTTTTTTCTT